TTTGCACAGATTAAAATTTAGGGACAATCAGAATGATACTTCAACTGAATGCAATGCCAAATGTCCCAACACCATTTTAGAGTTTAAACACGGCTTCGGAAGTGGCCAAATGACCAGAGAAAAGCCAAGCAGACAACTCCTCGTTAACTTGCATTTTAGCCTTGGCACAGAGTAATCCCTATCAAGTACAGGTATTTTCATCCTTCCCTTAATATGAATAGTCCCTGCTCCAAGAGGACACTAGGTGGACTAGACACCTTTTACATGGCTCTGAGTCCATCATTCTGTCTTTTTTAACTACAAATGGAGACATCAATTTCAATCATTATTGTACCTGAAAGTTAACCAAATTTGCCATGACATTTTATTTACATTCTACTCACTGTATGAAAATAAGATATGATAGTCTATTTTTTTCTTATGAAGAATAAGATTCAGAAATCATGAGTAAGATGTGGAACTAATATCATCACCATGTAGCATTTGATCATGTAGGACTAAAAAGAATTGTTCTGAAAATGCCAGCAACTCTTCTACTGAAATTTTTAATTCAATTTAATATTGCAGATGTAGAGATTAGGAATATGACCCCATGAAAAAGGAAGAGAAAATATAGAAAAAAAGTGTCAGGGTTTTCAGATCAAATGCGATTTCAAAATATTCTATCTTTTCTGTTAAAAAAAATAAAAATAGCTATATCAGTAAATTTTTCTAATATACTAATACTTCTGTTTATGCAGTCAATTGTATAGATCTGATCATAAACAGTTACACAAATTGGACATGTTACCCCACACCAATCTTAGAAAAATACTCTCCCATATCACTGGTGTATGACTATTGTGTGAATGGAGGTGAGATACAATTTGAAGAGGAATTATATCTTTGAACAAATAGTAATACTACTAAATTAATTTATCATAAATATTTGGAGATTATTTTTGCAAGACAAGTATATTTTGACACATTTTATAATAATTTCTTAGAAGAAATAGCACAAGATAAGGAAGTTATCTTAAGTTATGGCAAGAGAGTTAATCAATGAATTAACCATTTAGGAGTGAAAGGATAACATGATTCATGACATATATGAGATTTCACAACTAAAAAATACAGATATAGGGAAACAACTTTTGATGATGTCTTAAAGCTCAGTTAAAGGGGGTAAATTTAATTGTAAACCAGTTTCAGCCTAATTTGTGATGACCAAACTGGGATCTCTCAGAGATCACAGTGCTTCCCTAAACATGAAGGAAATGTATACGAAACTACAGCATAGCAACTGTTGATATGAACTGATTTTTCAGTGCTAAGCAATGTAATGATTCATAAAGCATATTTTTCTTCCTACCAACATAATCTCTTACTATGCTTATGTGTGTTACCCACCTGAGTTTACCATACTATTTTATCATTATTCTAATTATGTGCCATTTATATCCGTTAAATTTTTTTATTTTTTGCTAGATCTTCATCCTGAAACTTCGATAATAACCATTAAAGACAATGATATTTCCTTAAATTTTCACTGCATGTATTTCCATATATACAAGTATCTTGTAGACATCTTCTTTTCCTTGTCAAATAATGCTAAGGTAAATTCTACAGACTTACACATCAATGAAATTGCCAGAGATATAACTCATGACTGAAATTGAACAATTCTTTTCCTCAACAGTTCCAATTTCATTTTGTTATGCTACCTTTATTTAAATATTAATAACCAGTTGTACTCTTAAAATGTTCAGGACAACCAGCATATTTTCTTGCTTCTGTTTGCTGCTCAGGGAAAAATCGGGCCTTTTATTTCTTTCTTAGTGTTGAAGTTACTTCCTCAAATCTAACTGTTCCAACAGAGGGTAGATTTCAATTAGATATTAAGAAGAAATTTCTTTTTGTGAGAGTAGTAAGACACAGGAACAGGTAGTCCAGAGAATTTGTGGATGCTCCATCCCTGGAAGTGTTCAAGACTGGGCTGGATGGGGCTGCTTTGAGCAACCTGGACTAGTGGAAGTTGTCTCTGCCTGTGGCAGGGGAATTGGAACTAGATGATTTTTAAGGTCCCTTCAACCCAAACAATTCCATGATTCTGTGATTCCATGATTATTTTTCAGAAAACAATAATAGAAAATCATGGAATATGGAAACAATCCCATAACTTCTTCCTTGCCAGAAATGTTTGAAGCCATGTGGGATTATGGGATTTGTTCTCCTACTGAGAGACTGTGTTTCTCTGCATCCCAGGGTAAAACACCATAAAAGGTTAATTCACCAAGTAATATAGCTGTAAATAACTATTTTAACACACTCACGAAGCATTGTTCACTCTCTCATTGTTCCTAAGATAAGGAATATTCTTGCAAATCAGTCTTTTTGTATCTCTATTTGTGTGTCTCTAGGGTTAGCAATCATGATGGGTTTTTTGCTTTGTTTTGGGGTTTTTTTGTGGTTTTTTTTTTAGATAGAATCAATCTAATTTTTAATGGTGAAATCATGTTTACTGAGAAGGGAAACAGCTGAAATAGCACTACAACTGCCCACGTGAGAAGAGCGGTCCCTCAAGGAGAGGTCCATATTACTGACTCTCCAATGCTGAAGGATCTTCATTATGTAGACCTGTGTCGTGCCTGGCCAGTGGCATAAATGCAGACCTTAGATGGCACTTGATTTCTCCATTTTCACAAGCAAACTAGCTACATAGGCAGGTGCAAACTCATTAAAAACAATTTGTACCAGGTGGAACTTCTTTGGGTTTTCTTGAGAAGTTAATTACCATTATTTACCATAAGGAGGAAAAAAAAAAAAAAGGGAAGTAATTCACTCCAAGTTCCTGCTCAAAAGTCACTTAAAAGTCCCTTAAACTGTGTTTATCTCATAATATACAACAATTTGGAAAGACTAAGCCTAAGCAAAAATTCTTCCTGCTCACTTCCTGACATTTTGTCAGAAAGACCTGTAGAAAGAAGACTCCTCCTAGAGTGTAAATACCTGAGGGAAAGTCAGAGCATCCTCTATTTACCTGTGCACCTGCAAAGGAAAACTAAAACGTCTGAAGCCCCACCTTTTAAGAACCTTGTGAAACAATCTGGGAACTGAGCCAAAACCTCCTCTCTCAGTATATAAGACTCAGGAACAGAGAGGTATTTCCTCAGAGGCAGGTTGTTCGGTAGCTTCTACCGGACTTCCAGAAGATGGGCAGAGGTGGTGGGACTAGAATACCACTATGGATATCAATACTAGCACTTGTCTTCATACACATTGAAGGTAGGAAGATTCACTTTCTTGGCATTTTTACTGTTTTAAAGAATTTATAGCTTGCTTTGGAGTTTGAAACATTTTTTCCTTGGCTTTGTAAAGTTAATGAACCTGTTACATTCGTGCAAGATTTTCTTTTCTGTTATGAATACTTTCTTTCTTAAGAAGAAGAAATTACCTCTTTTCAAACTGCTGTCCTGTTTTCTCCAGTTGAAATCTGGAACAGCTCCCCTGCATTCAGTGGAACTCACTCAGAACTTACATTTCCACAAAAATGCCTCAAGATTTGCATTTAGCTTTTTATGTCCATTTCAAGGTGGTACAGTATTTCTAAATGCACAAACCAAAAGGTGCAAAAGTACCTCTAGAAAGGAACAAGTCAGTGGATGAGATTGTCTGCATGCATTTTTAAAGATTTTGCTTATCAGCTGATGACACAGTATTGAAAAAAGGAGGGTTTTGGTGAAAATCACTGGACAATAGGTTTTAACAATTCTTTTACTCTTGCCCATGAGGTTGCACAAAAGCTTAGCACACAGGGTTGGTTTGCAATGGGCTAAAAGCAAATGAAGCGACTTTAAGTATTCTAAGAGGGCATTAATAGTCAGAGATGGATTGAAATAACTTTTTACATTTTTTAAATTATTTTTTCATGAGATAATTTCCCTTAAATTTTAAGGTAACAACAATATTAGTTTTCCATTTTGATCTCAGGTGCAGATCCTATTGTATGATTTTATATTTTTCCTACTCCTAGGCAATTCCATACTAACTTATGTTAACAAGTGGTAGTGTCATGGAAAAGCCCATCAAAAGATTAACTGTAGCATTACCACACCATGCAATGGAAGCAGGGATCTGCAATGCATGTGGCATGAGACAGAATGGAGCCATACAGTGCATGGAGAGAGAAGCAAAAAGCTCTCTGAGGCTGGGCAGAGGAGGAGCCCAGAGGCACTGAATGGTTCCTACCTTAAAAAAAAGGCACAGCATGTCCTTCCAACACCAACTGGGTAGTGCTAAAAGGGACTTGCAGAGCTCTCTTACAATTCTGGTTTCAGCCTAAGCCCCTCTAGTGGTGCTGCTCACAGACTTCCCTTGCAGGGTGCAGCAGGAGGTGAGCCTGCCTTTTTAGTTTTCTGTGGCCAGCATAATCTCCACTGCAACATACCCTGTGATGAACTCTCACTAAGCGGTGTATTAAAAGCCCCTCTGGTCCCTGCAGATAATGTATTTATTCCTATTGTGATGCTGCAGTAGAATGGAATGAAAAATGGTTTCTGTGCTGGAAACAAAAAGTTTTGCTTTGGGGTAAAATCAACAGGCACAAATGTATGTATTGGAAAGACCTATTTCTTTTTCTGTGTGGCTTTTGTGTTTATTTTTCTTCTGCTGCAAAGAGTGCCTGAAATACAGAGTAACTGAGTAAGAGAGGCCAGAGATATGTCCTATAATCCTAAAATGAATTCTTCCTGTACAAAAGGAAATTTTAAAGTACTCTGGCTAGAGAAAAGGTTTTACTGATGCTTAAAGCACAGAGTGACCATAAAACCTAAGAAAATTAAGTTCTTTATCTGAAAAGCTTATAAGGGAATGCAGGGGTACATTGTGACAGCAACAGAATAAGGATCTGCTCAAACTACCACAGGCATGTTTTTGATGGCTTCCCTGCAGTAATCTATCAGCCAAAAAATAAAAACATATCAAAAAAAAAGGAAAAGCTGAAGGAGTGGTGTTTGGCCATCATGGTTGCACGCAGCCCAGATCCCGATTCAAATTTGACCTGTACATGAGCATATCTTTGCTGATTTTTTTTTTTTTTTATGTATACTGACTGTTACATGTTAAAACAGATGTAATTGAGAAATTGAGGAAGCTCAAGAAAATTAGACATTAACATTTCTACCATTCTTGATGCAGTTCAAGCCCAAGATGGTGAACAACAAAGTATATTTCTCCATCTATCCTGCAGCGACAAAACCGTATTTTTATGTTGATCTATTTCTAAGATTTTTGTTCCAAATCAAGTTGATAAATAATAAGATTACTAGAATGTTTTTAGTCCTAGCTAGAATACCACACACGTTAAAAGAGAAGTCCTCTGTACAATATACCCAATCTCTGACTGCTCTAAACTTGAGAACTTCCTATGAGATCTGGGCCAGTGGATCTGCTCTACTGATATGATAGAGTTATCTAATCTTTAACTTCAGGAAAGGTACATACCTTCTATCTAAAAGTGTATTTTCAGAAGAGGTGTGTGTTTACATACGTATCACCAGGGTACTTGATAGTAGGTAATAAAGGACACGTTTTAATTTTTTTTACACTGTGTCAAGATGACTGCATTACTCATGAGAGAATAAGGAAACTGCAACTACCTTAAATGCTAGCATAATTAAGCACTACAAGATCATGCATGACACATAACTGTACAGAGGAAAATAAGGGTGGAAGGATACAAGGCTGACTGGTATATTAGTGATGGCAGGCTGAAACAACTGATCACTAAGTCTGTCCTGCAAGAAGTGTACCACAAATTATTTAACAATAGCTGAGGATCATATTGTTGCCTCTGAGTTCAGAACCTGGGCCAGGATCAGATGGGAGTCTTGAACAAATAATGAAAGAAAGTACTGCAGCCAAAGGGCATAGTCTTTGGAATTTAGTTGTCAGTGAAATTTATAGAAAGATAGATCACAAAGCAATGTGTAAAAACCACCAATAAAACCTTGTGGAAACTTCCCTACAGAGTGTAAACAGTAGTAGGAAGGCTATGTTATCTCTATCCATTTTGTAGTATTCTAATAAGATTAAACTTGGTCATTTTTTCTCCTTTTGCTTTTCTACCAGCTTTCAAATCCCAAGAAGTGACAATCATTCCACCTTTTCAAAACACACTGAAAGTAAAGGGTAAGTTAACCAAATGTCATGGCACAGATATCTGTGTTCTTGTTGATCACACAGAGCATGGAGTGACTGAAAAGATCAATAGATTGTGTTAAATGCTTTAGCACTGTGAAAAAAGACTTAACAGAAAAGTCATCAGTTCCTCAGGTAACACAGATAATCTAACTGTGAATCCAGTGCTTCACCTGCATTGTGTTTATATAATGCAGCTGTAAAAAAAAAAATAAATTAATTAAAATATACTTATATATGCAATAATGGGAAAAATCATGCACAATATTTCCAGTAAAGAGAGAAAAATACTAATATGCTGAAAACACTGCGGAGACATCTTATCTAGGGTATAGGGTACAATTCAAGCAGGGTGAGTGTAAGTGTGGAAGAAATGTAGGAAGGGACTGTGAAGATTACCAGGGAGATAGAAGAGCCTTCTTGTAAGGAAATGAAGACTGAAAAGAGACAAGAGATTTCTATAACTGGTGGGGGGAGTAGTAGGCAGGTGAAACCCCTTCAAGGTGAAGTGTAATTTTGGCACAAGAACAACCAGGCATACATAGGACAGGAATATTGTTTGGAAGATGTCGGCAAAAGTCTTCCAGTCATTCAAAGGTTGCAGGTATGAGTGGCCTTCCCTAGTAAGAGTATGAATTGGTGTTTAACTTTAAACTGGGTTTATGGTGAAACTTTAGAACTTCATACATTTACAAAAGGATTTAAAGGATATGGGTGTTGACAGAACCAGAGCATTGGATCTAGTGACCCAGGAGGTCTCCTTCTCTATGCAAAACAGATTAAACACAAAAAGTAACTGAACCAAATAAAAAAATTATGATGAGCAAATAGCATGACAAGAAGGAAAACAGAAGATGGGCTTTTGGGACAGAGGCTACTGAAAGACCTAGGAGGGGAAGGGCATCTGAAGGGAGGGTATTACAGCAAATGACAGGAAATTCATACTGCTTGTTTTGGCTCCACAGCTGGCAACCCCTCTCACAATGGCCGTGTGTGCAGCACATGGGGTAACTTCCACTTCAAAACCTTTGATGGGGACATCTTTTACTTCCCTGGAGTCTGCAATTACATCTTTGCATCCAACTGCAAGTCTTCCTATGAGGACTTCAACATCCAGATTAGGCGTACAATGGCGGAAAATGCTACCGTGATCACTCACGTCATCATGAAGCTGGAAGGAGCAGTGATTGAACTGACCCGTGGCTCTGTCCGGCTAGACAACAAATTGTATGTTCATAACTTGCAGCTGTCATCACTGCTGTTGATCCCAGTGAACTCTTTGAGCAAGCATCCCTTTCCCTTGTCTGATCCGACATTGCTTCCAAGCAGCTGGAAGGCTCAGGTCTTTCCTGAAGTATTAACAAAAATGAGGGCTTGACAGTGAGCTAAGTGCCACTTCTGCACATTATCCCTGTGTCCATTTTATTCACATGAACTATGTTCCATATGATGGCCCACTTCTACAATTGTGTATGCATATATATAACTGAGTCTATAAGCTGGATTCAGTCAAAGTGTTAGAAACTTAAAGGGTGCAAAACCTACCTTCCATTAATGTTACTAGAACAGAATTCTTGAGAGGAGTTTTTGACAGCTTTTGTCTTTGCACCGAACAGCGTGCAGTAAAGCGGTGGCTGCAGCTTATATCTGAGTTAATTTAAAATTATCTATTCTGGAAACTTGCAATCTATAACAGCAATTGTAGCACTGACTTTGGCATAGGGTGTGAAACCTGTAGAAAAGGACAAGTAAACATTTGGGCAGCTATCCCACTGTGAGTTGTCTATTATAGCAGCTATGTACAACGAGCTAGTGTAAAGGTTATCTTGGGTACAGCTTTTTGAATGTCACTCATGTCACAGAAAGCCTGGAGTCCATCTCTTTATCATCAAATACTTTAAGGCCTGAAGCATACTGTTTGCAAAACAGAGTCTCCTAGCACTTCTTTGAACCATACAACCAAAAACATACACCAACACTTTACCTAGAAAAACACTTGAGAGAAAGCCAAAAGGAACAACAGGGCTGATCCATTTGCACAATGAGAAGCAACTGCACAGGAAACAGCCAAGATGTTACAAACCTGTGTTGTCTGTATTTAGCTACTGCTCTGATTTCCTCACTGATGGATGCTGAAAATTCTCAAAGAGAATAAGAAAGAATGGCAGTGTGGATATTCAATGAATATTCTGTCCCTACCCCTGCTGACTTCTGGTGATCTTTCCCCAGGGTTCAGATGCCCTACAGCCATATGGGAGTCTTGATAGAGAGAAGTAACAACTATCTGAAAGTTTCTGCCAAGTTAGGACTGACCTTCCTTTGGAATGAACAGGATGCCCTCCTGGTAAGAAAACATCCAGAACATGGCAGAAAGTCTGTATTTTGAAAATAGTTTGTTTACATTTTTGCAGTATTAATCAGTCATGTAGACATTAGTTGCTTTTGAATTTGTGTCCATTTTTAGTGTATTGTTTTTCCAGTCTTCTCCCAATTTTCCCTTTTTTCCCCACTAATCTCAGCTCAGAGTCAATAGACCCCCGATTATAATATTTTCACCTCACAGTGAAGTAATCCTCAGATTCCAGACCTGGCAATGTACTGATGTTCACAACCCAGGGCTAGAAGAAGAGCAAGTTTTTCTTGGTTGTCACTGACCTTTCCAATGATGCCTACCTTCTTATCACACAACACAGTCTGCACAGCAAACATATGTCAATTTTTGAGTACACAAGCAATACTGATGTAGGCTGTGCTCCTAACCACCCAGACTGACATTTCTATGAACCTCTTTCCTCATGTCTTTTAGGTGGAACTAGATAAGAAATATGCCAATCAGACTTGTGGACTTTGTGGGGACTTCAATGGAATTCCAGTTAACGATGAATTTATTTCAGGGAGTAAGTAATAAAAAGCATTATTAAGTATTGGCGCTTGTTTTTTTTCTTTTACAATATACTGTAACGTAGCTTGTGGGTCGTATTAACTGCAAAACTAGTGATACTTTTTCATGTATTTCTATGATATCAGTTATGCACAGTCAGGGCTTTGAGATGTATTAGACTGCTTCCATCACTGTTAGATGTTTTAAGACCTGCCACATAAAACTTTTTTGCAATACTTTGGGTTGAGTTCCTTGTTCATCTTCTTTTACCTTTCATACTATAGTGATATTATTTGGTAATCAATGTTCATGTGATAGCGGGTAGGATCACAAAAGAAAACATTTCCATGCAAAAAACCAGTAAACATTGTTCTAATATTTGAACTGTTTTTTACAGAGACAAAACTAACTCCCATACAGTTTGGTAATAGGCAGAAGATGGATGGACCCACAGAGCAGTGTGATGATCCTATTCCTTCTACTGTTCAGATGAACTGCTCAGCAGAATTTGTAAGAACCTCTCTCTCAAAATTTTTCTTTTCAGTGTGAAATATACTCTATCTTTGGGGAAAATTTGTTAGAAGGGAAAAAATATGCCAAAGTGAATGCCAAAAAATTCCCCATCTAAGAGAACACTGCATATTTTCCTGAAAGAGAAAATCACTGAGGATATCTTAATATAAAGAAATTCTATGAGGCTTGGGAACTCACATGAGGTGAAAGTAACTCAAGATATGGAAGATACTAGAATTAACTAAAGGATTTCCTTTATGTTCTTGCCCTATTGATATACTTTTCCCTAAATATCTGCTTATGGCTACTGTTGTACAGGTTTTGTGGACTGGATGGATCCTTGATTTGTTCTGCCACAAACCTTAAATAATTAGTTTCATATTTTCTAAATGTTTTGTTTACCTTCTCTGTTTTCCTTCCCAGGCTTCTATCTGTGAGACAGTATTAACCAGTAAAGCATTTACGAGCTGCAACATGCTTGTCAATGTTCAGGACTACATCGAAACTTGCATACAAGACCTATGCCACTGTGATAGTTCTATGGCTGACTTCTGTATGTGTAACACTTTTGCTGAATACTCCCGGCAGTGTGCTCATGCAGGTGGACAACCTCTGAACTGGAGAACCTCACAACTGTGTCGTAAGTATCTCAGGAAGGGACTTCCACCTGTGCTTATTACCCACATCTATTAAACTCCAAATATGTGAGGTTTTTTCCTTGAAAAGACAGTTGTTTAAAGGTGCATACAATTATCGTGAAATCAGTTTCAACCTGATCATACTCAAGACTTTGGGAATATGGAAGTTTAGGGGATTTTCCTTACGAACAGTTTTAATATATATCAGAAAAACTAAAATGTTTTGGCCTCCACTTGGATCAGGATTCCCCATCATACCTTGACAGGAAACATCCTAAATTGCAAATGTTTTCTCAACCTTTCAGGGGAAAAGCCAGCTTTATAATACTTTTTCTACTTTTAGCCAAATCATGTCCGTTCAACATGCAATACCATGAGTGTGGCTCTCCCTGCTCTGACACGTGCAGCAACCCGGAACGATCTGCACTTTGTGAAGACCATTGTACAGATGGCTGCGTCTGTCCTCCAGGCAAGCTTATTTCCTGCCCTGTTCTCACAGCCAAACCCACTAGAATACTTACTTGTACACATTTAACAACTTTCGCACTCTGTATCATTCTCATCATGACACCAGCATTATCATCAAAAGAAAAGCTACATTTCTTCCTTCATATACATGCTCTATTTCTATTCAGATTATTAAATATGCCCTTTTAAATAACAAACATTGAGAAGACATGTGCATATGACTGAACTGAGAATAAGATAATTTGTTCCTAACAACAAGAGCATTCAGATTCAGTTCCCAGAAAGTATGAAATCTTTAATCAGATTTTGCACACAACGATAACTCCTGTTAGCAAAGCTGCATCTGGTTCGCCAAATCTCCTTCTTGTCAAGTGCTGAGTGTCTAAACAACAAGGAGCTGAGAGAGCACCAGGCAGTGTGTAAAATTTGGTGCTTCAGAGAATTATGTATGAGACCTGAGTATCAGTACAAGACAAACAATGCAAGTGTATCTTCTTTGTGCACACTTATGTTGCTGTTGTGAGTGACTGTATGGTAGGATCTTCACCCCTTGCAGCTCTTCTGCCCATTCTCATGATGTCTCAGAGAATTCACCATCATTTGTTTGTGTAATGGCATTGACTTCTCTTAAACAATCCTCTGTCTCTGGGCACAAAAATATTTACTGTACAAATATGTCCCTGGGCAGTCTTACAAATGGTTCATCTATTCCACCTCATTATCTAGTAATTTTAATCCTAATTCCATTCTAATGAAGTCCATAACAGAAATGTATTTCCCTAGAGGTCTCTTTTGATCACCCTAGGATTTTAGGTAGGCTTCAATGGCATATAGCCTTTCAATCTCTACATAGCTTGCATCCTATTATTTTAAAGTACTGTGTAATACAGAAGAAATGGGGCATATTCTCAGGCATCTGCTAGATATGTGTTCAAAGGCAGGCTGTGCAGTGCACAGAATGAGTAACAGACCATTTCTTTTCCTAGGAATGGTGTTTGATGACGTTAATGGTGCTGGCTGCATTCCCCGTAGAGAATGCCACTGTACCTATGAAGATGAAACATATGCTCCTGGTGCCTCCTTCTCATCTAAATGCAGATCATGGTAAGATACTTTCACACATGTCTTTTCTTTTAGGTGCACTATCTGAATATTCCGAAGACAGGGAAAAATAACTAATTTCCCCTTAAAAAAATTAGGAACTACTTATCAATTGAAATTTCCTGATTACAGAGTTTTACAGGACAGTTCATGTCTGTTTTCCCCTTACACTTGGAAGCAAAATTTAAGTTTTTGAATAGATGCCTCAATTTCAAGACCTATCAATTAAAGAAGACAATCAAATAACAGAGGTGTTTAAAAACGTGAATTAGTGTTACATCCTTTGCAGCATGGCAGTATAATATTAGGATGCTCATGTAAATACCATAGAGGGCATGACACTTAGGGACATGTTGCATTTAGAGTGGGAGATCACATTTGAGAGGCATATTTGGCAAATATTACCTATATGTTTTAAATATCACTATAACTACTAAAGTTTTATTGCATAACTGTGTGCAAATGCACCTATCTATGTATGAACACAAGAACCATATTATCTTCCATGAAAAACTTCACATGTTTGAAGCTTGAGCCATGCTAATGGAGATGAGGAGTGATACTTCATATGCAGAAGGATGCATGACAGGTTCACCAGGACTGAATTCTGTCCGAAGACTGGAAATGAACAGCAATATATATATAAAATTACCACTAATATAAATGTGCCTGCCCCATACTTATTCTGATATTTTATAGCAATACTGGTTTCTTTGACAGTATGATCAGTGTTTCAAGAGGAAAACTGAGGCATCATCTGCCCTTATTGTCTTCTATTTCATTTACATTTGCATTACCCAAGGTTACTGAATGCCTTCTTCATTTCAGTACCTGTGTTGGAGGTGAATGGTCTTGTGTCACTCAGTCATGCCCTGGGACTTGCAGTATTGAAGGAGGCTCCCACATTTCAACATTTGATGAGAAACATTACTCTTTCTTCGGAGACTGTAGCTATGTCCTAACCAAGGTAAAAATGAGTCACCCTTGCTAAAGGAAAGTGTCTTTATTATATATAAGGTTGTTTGTTGAAAATTACTGGCAGTCACATCAACTTTATGAAATTTAGAGGGTCAACATGGAGCCTGTCTGTTAGGGTTATACTAAATAATATTGTAGTGGTTTTGTGTTCTTCGATCATTGTTTAAGAATTGCACTGAGTTTTTAGCAGATGTATTAAATACCTAGATTTTAGTAGATATACTAAATACCTAGATTTCATAACCCTAGCTATTTTTATGGTTTATTTGTACTGGGTGAGTCATGTAAACTATTTTCATAAGGACTTCATGTTGAATCAAATCTGTTAGCAATAAGATCAGTCTGAATGTTACCAAGTAAGAGAATAATAAAAACTGAGGGAGGAGCTAGAGTACTTTAGAAATAGATTAGATTAAATTGATTAAACTTTTGAATGAGATTCACAAGCATTGTTCTTGATCCACAATGGAAGCATAGATCAGACTTACACTTTAAACTCCTCTTTTTGGCACCAACATGTAAAATTAGATTCTCAGGGTTTCTGGAGGTAGAGAAAAATCACTAAATTTGAACTCAAAAGTTCAAAAAGCCCACAAATTTAATATTGAATTTCCAGATGTCTGGAATTCTGAATATCAGCTATCCTCAATTTAGTCTTCATTATGCCAAAGAAGTGATAGGACAAATTCAGAATCACAGCTTTCTTTGAGTGTTGCCCTGTTAAGTCTTGGCCATTAGTCACCATTTGAAGGTGGATGACAGAACACAGTTCAATGAAAATCAGAACCAAGACAAAAAAAACCCAAACAAATTCTACCTTTATTCAGTAATTTAGTGAATGAGGATTTTAGCTTAATTTTCTCCTGTTAGAGAATATTTAAATGCATGATTTCCTACCAGTTTGAAGAATGTTCAAATCACCAAGGTCCTTGATAATTTATTCAGTGCAGAAGACTGGAAACAATTTCTTTCCTGTCCCTGGTAAACTTCATAACCACTGGGAAAGAAAGGCATGTGTCCTTCTTCTCTAGCATATTAAACTAGTTTTACCTTAACATTAGGAACTACTATTACCTAAGCCTTAGGGAGTTTAATGTTCAGCTTAATATGTCTAACTCACCCTTGATGTCAGGAACAATGGATAGCTTCCAGAGTGCAGACTGCATGAATGGCAGCTGACTTGGTGTCTGTATACATACATGTAAGACCACGTGAGCAAGAAGAAATTAAATACACAATATTTTGAAAGATTCACTCTACTAAGAATTCCACTTAAGTGTGAACTTTTTTAAGTTAACAATATTTTAATATAACAAATCCTTTTATTGGTATCTTTTGTTTTCTTCTTCTAGCTCTGTGACAGCAATGAATTCACAGTTCTGGGAGACATCCACAAGTGTGGCCTGACTGAAACTGAGACGTGCCTCAAGGGTATAGCCATCAGCCTGAGTGGAGGACAAACTGTGAGTAGCAAATGTAAACACCTAACATTCTGCAGGGATGTTCTCAAACCTTAACAGACAAGTAGTTTGCAAACAACACATAACAGCACACACAGGAAATCTGCACTTACTTTTCCTTTTATCTCATTTGAACATTATTCAAAGTAAAATTAAGAATAAAGTAAGTACATTAGAAGACAAGATCCTGGTAGTTTTCTCTTAGTTAGATAACTTTGGGCTTTTGCTTTTTTAGACAGTCAATGGATCGCAGTAATAAAATTAAAGAAATAATATACTAATCAAAACATCATCATAGTCTCCTTCCACTTTTTTTCCCCCTCCATCTTGAACAGTATTAGAAAATATTTTGAAAGTACTTTACTCTTCCTAAATATGCTTGGTAATCATTGCCTTTTGTTGTGGACAGAACATTGTGATCCAACCTTCTGGTAGTGTATTTGTGAATATGATCTACACACAGCTGCCATTCTCAGCAGGTAAGTTCCTTTGGAAGACTTCTGTAATGTTTCTCATTTTTTACTTTAAAAATGAATTAATCTAAAGCCAAATTCTGCCTTTGATTACACTGCAGCAACCCCAAAGTACTGCAGTAGAGCATAGTCTCCCACTTCTAATGTAATAGGGTGTCCCTATTCAAAACTTACAATTTTAGCAAAATTAAGGTCTAAATATCTAATGAAATGGACATTCAGTTCAAGGAAACAGTGTCATTGCACACTTCCAGATCCAAACATTGACATAAGAGATGAAAGAAAACATCTGACATGCAACAGGACTCCAATATCTCAAGAAATTTAGTTCCCTGTGTTCCCTCTGGAGCACGTTAATCTCTGGAGTTTCTCTCATGACAGTTCTTCTCAGATACTACTGCACCTGAACACAAAGCAAACCATGAAAGGACTTAATAGGACCAGGCTGGAGTCTTCCATTAAATAGTGCTATATCATTTTCACCAAGGAAAAGCAGCCTTTTAAATAGCAATGAAAGTGTGTGTTCTTCCCCTTATTTTAAAACATCTGACAAAAAGTGCAGGGTTTGTATATGTTTGTTTAGGTGTTTATATTAGCCTGTTTTGGTGCTGGATTTGAAATCCTGTAGGGATCATTTCCCCCCCAGTTCTTCAGAAATTAGGATCGTATCAAACACAGCTGTAGAATTCCTCTGTGTGATGAACAATAATTTCAAATGCTCATATCATATGAAATTATAACACTTTTGTTCTTATATCCCTAGCAAATGTCACCATCTTCAGACCTTCATCCTTCTTCATCATTCTGCAAACAACCTTTGGTCTTCAGCTACAGGTTCAACTTGTGCCTTTCATGCAACTTTTTATAGACTTAGACCCCTCACATAAAGGGCAGACCTGTGGTAAGTGACCTTAGCGTAACAAGTGCCTTCACCAGTATGTGTCATTCTGTAGGGCACTTTCACAGACCATCTGCTTCCTTTTAGGTCTCTGTGGAAACTTCAATGACATGCAGACAGATGATTTCAAAACCACCAGTGGTGTAATAGAGGGTACTTCAGCTGCCTTTGGCAATACTTGGAAAACTCGGGCTGATTGTCCTGATGCCAAAAATACCTTTGAGAACCCCTGTACTGTCAGCATACAAAATGGTAAGCTCAGCATATAGTAACTTCTTCTATTCTCTTTTAAGATGCAAAGACAGAATAAGCTGATAAGTCACCAAGTATTTTGACAAAATAACAGAACTGTTTGCACACACACTATTTTCCTCAGCTGACACTAGAAGTCTTCAATTAATAAACAATATCTAGGAAAATATTTTGGATCTGTAAAAATATTCCTTTGGATCAAGACAGCAACTGTTTTTGCCAGCTTATTTAAGAGAAAGTAGAACCATACAGCATATTAGGGATCCATTCCTGGAAAGGGCTGACTGTCATATAGGAAAAAAACTGTGCATAGCCCCACTGAATGTTGGACTCAGTGTGACCCTTCCACTGTTAAACTGAGAACCAGATTTAAAATTCAGAATTTCAAAGTTTTCAAGCTCCATTTCAGACAATAAAATATATAATTTTGAGTATTCACAAGCTTACTCTTTTATTTTCTCAGATGAACTAACATATTTTTAATTTACAATGTGAACTTTTCTTTTCAAAATTCGATTATGGATGTCTTAGTTTATTCCATGACAATTACCACAAATTAGACAGCATTCAGTTTATGAAGAGTTCATATTTCTCCTTACAGGAAGCAAAAGACTGGTTCAGCAAATGTGGGGCTAAATTATATCATAAAGTTAAGCTTCTGCAATCTCCCTGCAGGAAGTATAGTAAAACTGAGACAAGAGTTTTGAAAACTAAGTACAATAGAAACTCTTACCATGTTTTCAATTCACAGACCAGTATGCTCAGCACTGGTGCGGACTGCTCTCTGATACTATGGGACCTTTTGCTGAATGTCACTCAACAGTGAATCCAGAAGTTTACCAGAAGGTACTTGGCTCTTAACTTTATCCCATTTAAGAGAAAAAGACTCAGATTTCTGATACTAACACCTGAGAGAGTAACTTGCCAATTGAGAGGATATGCATTCATGGTAGTTCTTTTCAAGCCAAGGATTCATTCTTATAAAATTTGCTCCTTTGTAAAGGTATCTCTCCATTCCCAGGAGGATAAATTTACAGGTATATTCCTCCTGCACCTCCTGCATTTTTAGGTACAAACTTAAAGATTAAGCTAGGAGCTTGGACTCCTTGGACTCCTTATGAGGTCAAGGGACAAAACCTGTCCCTCCTGAGGTAGAAGGAAAGCTTTAGTCAGAATCTTAACCAGCACTTTAGTTTCTCTGAACTGCTCTCAGAAGGCTTTTGCATATATGTAAAGGACAAGGCAAGCAATGTGTGTAAGAAACAGTAAAGAGATTTAGATATGTGAACAAAAACATCCCAGGAATTCAAGGTGATGAAGCTCTGTAACAGAGTCCCTGGGTACTTTACAAAATCTCCCTGTTATTGCAAATTTATAAGATTATGTTCAGCAAACATCTTCTGGAATTATAATATTATAGTATCCCTGCCCTGCACAGAAACACATTAAATAACTGGTTTTCTTTGTTCCTCTTGTGCAGAGAGCCCAGGCTCTTAAACCTAAGCTCCCAAAGCTGAGTGGCATCAAATACTCTCTATTTATTCTAAATATATATGGCACAGTGGGGAAAAACTGGATGTAGTTGGAAAATCTACCAACACTTGAAAAAGAAAAAAAAAAAAGAAAATGAAAAAAAGAGTTCAAAATTGTAGACCTCTAATTACTCTTTCTTCATGCAAAGAATCTTCTTTGAAAGTACACAGTGAAGAATATGTTTACTTACACTTGTGGATTACACTCACTTTAACCTCTAACGAATGTAACACTCTATAGAGCACTGTGGCTTTGACATGACAATCTGATGATCATATGTCATCCCCTGTTCCTAGAACTGCATGTTTGACACGTGTAACTGTGAGAAGAGTGAGGACTGCATGTGTGCTGCCCTTTCAAGCTATGTCAGAGCCTGTGCTGCTAAAGGAGTTCTCCTCCCTGGATGGAGAAGCAAAGCCTGCAGTAAGTTTTACATTCCTTTGCCTTTTGAAAATGATCACCCAGAAGCCCCTACAGAGCAGCTCTCAGGGATTCCCACAGTAAATTGTGTTAAACTGGGTTTTAAGCGTAGCATTGACTTTGAAGAAGTTGAGGAGGAAAGGAATATCATAAAAGACAAGCAATAAACAGTTAGAAATAGAAAGAAGAGGCTTTGTTAGATTACTTGCTCAGAACCAGCAGAAGTAACGTGGAGAGCCATACCCTTGCAATAGGAATAAAATAAGTAAGGTGTTTCTCGATTTACTTTGAAAAAAAAAAAAAAAAAAGTAAAAATAGCAATGAGGAAGAAACATACTATGCATTAATATAGTTGAACTTTGTCCTCTTTTTAATTTGGAAAAAATACTTGTATTTGTGACACATTTATAGGGGAAAATTCTGCTCCGGCAGTAAAAAAAAAAATTACATTATTGAGGATATCAGTAAAGCATTTGTATACACATTGCCATGTTTATCATATATATCTTATCTCAAATACTTCACTTATACCTACATTGATTCTTAAATGAACTACAAATGTAACTCACTCTTTTACTTTCAAGCAAAATACACCACCTTGTGTCCGAAATCTTTGAAGTACACTTACAATGTTGATACCTGTCAACCCACCTGCCGGTCTCTGAGTGAGCCTGATGTCACATGCAGCATTAAGTTTGTCCCAGTTGACGGCTGCACCTGCATAAATGGAACATACATGGATGAAACTGGCAAATGTGTGCCTGCATCTAGCTGTCCTTGTTACTACAAAGGAATGCCTCTGTCTTCCGGAGAAGTTATTCATGATAACGGTGTTGTCTGGTAAGAGATTTGTAAAGAGAAAAATGAGATTGCTTATGTCCAATCATGAAATCATATATACGTTATGAAATCAAATCAAATGCACCTTTTTCCTTAATAATTTCAATTAAAAAATCACATATTCCTAAAAATTGTTAGGGCTACCCATGTTTGGAAGATTGTGCAGGAATTGAACAAAACATACCGGGGTAGGTTAGCCTTTGCTAAAAGCCAAACTCCTACCTAGTCCCTCTCTCTCTGCCTCCCTTCCTGTCTCCTTCCCCACAACACATACTTTTCTTATCTATGACTGTAAAAGACTTGTTCTATGGTGAAAGATACTTGATAATAACGTTACAGATTATTCCCTTTATGAATGGAATCTGAATTGTCCCAAAGGACATTTTTTAAACCAGGCAAATAGACAGAGTAAACACTTCCTTTATATAGAATATACTTGTATTTTGTTCTGCTCTAACATAAAATATTTTTGAACAGAAAAAATATTTTGGTAAAGGACATGTTTTATCTGTTTTATCTGTTTTATCACACAGTAATTTTTCATTATTTCAAATTCACTAGGAAACAGGCTGAAAATTGACCAAAAAATGTTTAAACATATCCATTACTTTTTTTTTTTTTTTTTTTAATAGCACTTGCACGTACGGAAAACTGAGCTGCATTGGAGAGAAACCTGAACCAGGTAACATATCAGTTTATTCCTTTTCTTCAATTCTCCTTTTCCATCTTCATCCTCTTCAGTTCTCTTTTGTCATAATGATGCAAATTGTAAAAGTAGGAAATCAATCAAGAAAATTAATTGAGGACTTCTGTAATGTAGAGGATATTCCCAAAAATATAAATAAATACTTTCTTACCTTTCAGATGGCTGAAATAAGTTATAACCCCCTGGGTTACCCAGTAGAAAAGAGTACAAAGTCACCTCACTGAATGTGAGGGGAAAACCATCCACATTTTAACTGAAAGTAGTAAAAGCCAAAAATAAAACACAAACAAAGTAATCCAAGATCTTTGTTTTCTTGATTTGTTTCTCTGAAAGGTGTTTCACGAAGCTAACTAAATGTTAATTTAATGGATTAGTCCAAGCATAAGCACAAAAAGCAGATAAATATGATTTCAAAACAATAATCAGTTTCTCTTTCTGGTCAAACATATCATTTTAAGGTACCCATATGTCACAAAGGAGTCTTCTCTCATTTTTCTTCAGTCTGTATTAAGGAAACACAAAGATACAAATGCATGGCTTCTGTCATATTTCTCATGGCTTTTCTCTCTTTCAGTCTGTGTACCTCCCATGGTTTATATCGACTGTGGTAACGCCACTGCAGATGTGGTAGGAGCAGGATGCCAGAAGAGCTGTCAGACTCTAGATATGGAATGCGTAAGTATAGAGTCTTTATAATTAGTTGAGAGCATATTAAACTAGATCTCTTTTACAATAACCAGCTGCCGCTGGACTCTTCCGGGAGGGAAATGTTTCAAGACATGTTTTCTCTATGGTTCTTACAGTACAGAACTCACTGCGTCTCTGGCTGTGTATGTCCTCATGATCAAGTGTTAGATGGCAAAGGAGGTTGTATAGCTCCAGAAGACTGTCCATGTATTCACAATGGGAATTCCTACAATCCAGGAGAATCAATCAGAGTTGGCTGTAACAACTGGTAAGAGCATATTGAAAAATAACATTTCCTTCAAGCTCTAGGGAAGTAACATATGAGTGAATACCATTTCACTCTAACAGCATCAAGATTCATAAAAGGAATCCTACATAAAATGATCCACTTAGTACCTAAAAAGCAAGCTCTGTCTGTTTTTCTTGATGGTATACAGCCCAGAAATTGCAAGTGGTCAGAAGAACACTATGGTTTGGAGGCTGTCATATTCATTCAAGTCAAGAAATCTTTTTTTTTTCTTCCCAGGAAATCCTTACATTTCAGTACATCCAGCAAGATTTAGAAATGCGAAAGAGTTAATGTTTTCTTATCCAAATTATTTACTACATCATTAAGTAACAGTCTTTGGCTAAATCCCAAAAGTTCTTGAGCTGTGCTGCATTTCTGAGACTAAGCAAACTTTATTTTTTCATTAGCGTCTTAACACATTGTAAAATGCAGGAATGTACCTATATTGGGTGTATGTATAGCTTTTACATTTTGAGTGCTTTTTGTCTTATGTAGCACATGTAGAAACAGAAAATGGCATTGCTCTGAGGAACCCTGCCTGGAAACGTGTTCTGTTTATGGAGATGGGCATTATACCACCTTTGATGGCAAACGCTTTGATTTTGAAGGAGACTGTGAATATGTTCTGGTCCAGGTAACAGAGTCCTTCTCAGATTTTTGCATTAAGTACCTTGCATTTTACTTATGACCATGTAGCATAGTTAATATTGAATACCATTCCTCTGTTTCAGAACTATTGTGGTCAACAAGCTATGAATCAGGGAACCTTCAGAGTCATCACTGAGAACATTCCATGTGGCACTACAGGAACCACCTGCTCTAAATCTATTAAAGTTTTCTTGGGGGTGAGTATTTCCTTTAAGTTATGCCAGGAGGGTGGAACAAGCTGTCCCAGATAGACTGCATTGCAGAAGTGTCCTCCAAGACAGTGAAAATGTTACTAGACTTCTTTGCTCACTGCTAATGACTCTGCTCTCTGCTAGAGAAAGCAAAGGAGGAAACTCTAAAATTTCTTAATGTGAGGCTGTTGAATAGAATCCTTTTGATAAGTTATTATTTCAATTAGTTACTGGCAACAGATAAACCTGTACCAAAATAACTTTTTTTAATTGGCCTCTAACTTTTTCTTTTCCTGTCTTAGAACTATGAGCTGGTACTCAGTGATGGACACTCTGATGTCATCCAGAGGACACCTGGAGGAAAAATGCCATTCCAAATCCGTTCCATGGGTATCTACCTAGTAGTTGACACCACTGCTGGTCTGATACTCATGTGGGACAAGAAGACCAGTATATTCATCAAACTTAGTCCCAGCTTTCAGGTACACTTTAAAATCAAAAACCTTGATAAAATTAATTCTGAAACACATCCATATTATCTCTCAAAGAAAAAGTGTGGAAATTTAGGCTGTACATGAAAGACTTCAAGAGCAGCAATTGTGTATTATTATCCTTGCTATGTTGAATCAGATTGTGTACTATGCATTTTCCTTCCATTACATTATTCAGCAACTACGTCAGTAGCTTTCCTCGTGAAAAGACCTCACAGAAGAGATATGTTCATGATCAGCTAAAACTAAATAGCTCAGTACTTAAGAACAAAACCCATGAGTCTACTCTTCTTCCTATCTTTGTTTATCCTTCCTAGCAACAATTCAGAAATAATCTCTTTATGAAAGGCATTTTATGAAAATTTGCAACACTGTTACTTAAGAGGCACAGATAATCTTAAATAAGACTCATTCTGAGGTCTGTTACTCACAGATACTGAGAAACTGTACCTTATTATTTTTGTGATTTTTGTGTATTTATCCTGATGCAGGGACATATTTGTGGACTTTGTGGAAACTATGATGGCAATGGAAATAATGACTTCACTACTCGCAGTCAGTCTGTGGTAGGAAATGTGCTGGAGTTTGCCAATAGCTGGAAAGTGTCTTCTAGTTGCCCAAATGCCAATCGTACGAAGGATCCATGCACTGCAAACCCATACAGGAAAGCCTGGGCACAGAAGCAATGCAGCATCATTACCAGTGAAGTGTTTGCAAAGTGTCACTCCCAGGTATGACAAAAACTTTAGTCTTAAATTCTCTTGAGACAAAGATTACATCAATTCTTATGTGAGATTAAAAAAAACAAACAAACAAACAAATAAAAAAACCCCAAACACAAACACCTAAAATACGCTTTTTCATGCTTTACAAAGTGAGCTCAGACCAAGTTCTATGGAGATTGCATGGAAAGTATTTTCACGAAAGTATTTTCACTTTCGTTTTCTCAGCTTTAGCCTTGAACAAGTACACTAAAGAAATTGATAGTTTGGATTGGTTGTTCTTGTTTGCTTGTTTGTTTGTTTGTTTTTAATAGAAGGACAAATCATAGATAAAATTTCAGGATATGCTTATTTTCTAATGGCATCATTTTCTACTAATATAAATATCAGCCACCTGATATGTATGACTGTGTGCTAGCTTGTAGTAATTAACAGTATTCTGCAATTGTACCTTCAGCATCACACAGTTCTTAGTATTACAGCTTAGTAGCAATAGCTTTAGTCTACATTTTCCTCCTGATTTTTTCAAAGCATTCTCATGGTTTCTTCCTTTCTTAGCTTCCTTACATACAGCTGTCAGTTTCAGACATTTTATTCAGCTATTTTAGGACAGTGCAAATGGGACAAGGGCATGAAAACTTAAATGTTTTCTCCATCAGGTTGAACCAAACGAATATTATCAAGCATGTGTGGATGATGCTTGTGCCTGCGACACTGGAGGAGACTGTGAATGTTTCTGCACAGCAGTAGCTGCCTATGCTCAAGCATGCAATGAGCTGGACATTTGCATTTCATGGAGAACCCCATCCATATGTCGTAAGTTTTGACCTACTACCTTTGGGAGGGGTCCAGAGGGAAAGAAAACAGAAAAAAAAAAAAGGGAAAAAAAAGGTAGGAAAAAACGAAAGACAAAATTGTATTTGTAAGAAAGAGGCACTGTTGTATTCTTTAAAAAAACAACCAGAAAAACCCCAACAAAGAAATCTGGGTAAATCACAGGAAGACAACCTATCCTACTAAAATGAAACCACAGATAGTAACTTTACAAGTGGTGTGATTAATGTCTGATTAACTTGTCAATCATGATACACAACTAGTGAACTATAGTATTATATTACACTCCCACCTGTCTATAGCAGGCTCCATGTAAATAAATACTAGTGCATACTAGCTAAAATCAGTGATTTAATCAACTGATTTTTCTTGTTTAATGTGTAATTCTGTTCTATGTGTTATAAATTAATTTATGTCAAAAGGTGGTAGAAATATAACAATTTTATCAAATTAGCAATAAGACAATATACTGTTCACCACCTATGTGACTATGCTGATCCCATGGGGTTTTCACCCAGCAAAACTGAGAGACTATAGAGCTGAAAGATCAAAGGTGTTTTGCTGACATTTCCCCTTCTTCTAGCTCTATTCTGTGATTACTACAATCCACAAGGGGAATGTGAGTGGCACTACAAACCATGTGGAGCCCCTTGTATGAAGACCTGCAACAATCCAAGTGGGAACTGCCTTCATGAGATGAGAGGTTTGGAAGGTAAACATAATGTTTCTTGTTCTGGTTTTAAAAGCTTAAAATGCAGTATGATTAACAAAATTTAGATTACTCAGTGTATGACATGCTTGTAGTAGAAATTACAAGAGATTTTCTAATTTAGTATCTTACTACCTAATGGATCATACTTGTTTGGAGTGAAGATGAGGACAAAATGCACCAAAGCTTAATATGCAATCAAAATAGCAGTAAGAGGGTCTGAAATTCCACTTACCACCTGGGACAATATTGGGAAAGCAGATATGAGTTTAGAGTTAATTCTACTTGTGAAAGGGCTAGTTTCAACTTGACTCTTTTTATTGCAGGCTGCTATCCACACTGTCCAAAAAATAAGCCCTATTTTGATGAAGAAACCATGACCTGTGTTTCTAATTGTGGTTGTTATGAAAATGGGAAAAATTACAAACCAGGAATGGAGATGCCTCCAAAGCAGAATTGTGAATCATGGTAAGATTAGTAAAGATTTTTAAAAATTGAGTTTAAAGTTGTGGAACATAATTTATCACACATTAAACATGTTGTTTACCAACAGGAAGCAGGCTAGTCAGAGGCTGATGAATAATGTCTAATTTTCTTCCCTTCCCAGGAACTTAAATGATACCATGGTAAAACATTTCACCATTGAGAGATTAATTTACTACTTAGTCTGTATATTTATTAAAGTGCTTTTAAATTATTATGATAATTATTAAATCAAATAAAAATAAAATAACAATAGTTAGGGAATAGTCCTAGAATTTGTATTAAGATATCCCTAAACTCATTGTATGAAATTCTCTAGAAGTTAGCAGCCAACTCATATACGTGGTTTTGAGCTTGTTTCTGCTATTTCACTGGTACTTGCATAGTTGCAACTGTCCCATAGTTGCAAGTATTACCACACATTACTGATGGCAAGTTGCAACAAGTGCTGCTAAGCCTTCTATAAAATAGTACAAAGTTAGCAGAATCAGTTGTTAAGCAGTTAACAATTGTCTTAAGACACCTTTAAAGTAGCTGCGCTTGAATACAGTAAGTAGTGCAATGCAAATAGCAAAAAATCTTAACACAAAGCCCATTTGAGCAAACCCAACTTCTTTGGCATGTTTTGCAGTTCATAGACATCTTTGTCTACATGGTCTAGGCCATTAACAGCACTAAACCTGAAGCAATAAGTACATATTTATATTTATTTAAGTTTATTCAATGTATAGATGCCCTTAGTCACTGTAAATAAGTACATCAAGATTCAGTTATTAAAACATAATAGACAAATTCCATCTAAAACCAGAATGCATTCTTGCATCTTTTGGAAGTCTGATGGAAATTTGCTGTGTAGATTACTTCAACATCCATGATACAGTGATCCTTTGTATATATCCTTATGAATGTAAATGATACATTTACTGCACTTTCCCTTCCAAAAAATAAGTAGACCTATCAGAGTGATGAGAACATCTCAGATGACCCTTGTTCACACCTTTGCTCAGCTCCCAAAAGCACTGATAAGGTTGCTGCACGTTTCATGGGCTGACACAGAAGAGTTATCTTTCTTGCCAGAGAACTGCGTGAAGATAACCTAGCCTGAATTTGTACAGCAGAACTGAAGCTCTAACTCAGAGAACATAGGGGCATTCTACATTTAAACACACAATGAATAGACTGATAGAAAAAAAGTTGAAACAACAAAATTATGTCATGAACTGATATATTCACATTGATAATCTTAATTTTTCTCTTTTCCAGTGAATGTACAATTCATGGCAAAGAATGCAGATATAACGAACACGGTATGTTGACAAAGTTGTTTTTATATGATTAGGATGCATTTAAGGTATTCTGTTCTGTGTTTCAGATAGCAAGGAATAACATCCTATTTTGATTTACAGAATGTGTCTGCTTCTATGAGGGACAGAAATATAACTACAAAGATGTGGTCTACAACACTACAGATGGAACAGGAGGGTGTATTGTTGCAATCTGTGGTTCCAATGGAACACTTGAAAGGATTATCTATGAGTGTCCAATCTCAACGTCACCCACAACAGCAACAACATTTCATTTCAGCACTACACCACCTGCCAGTACTTCCACAGGTAAATTCTTTATAGGACATAAGAGTGTATTCTGCTTATTAGTGAGTAAAATTTAGCTACAAAACGATGCCCACACGCACAGCATGAAAAAATTAATACAACCTCACAATAAATGAGAGCAGTAACAAGGAAATAAACATAGAAAACAAATCCGCTTCTGAAACACCATATTAAATTACACCCTATTAAATTAATATTAATCATATTAAACTAAAACTATGCTAAACTGATGCCCTACAGGATCACAATGCAAGAAAAATAACACTAGGAAAATTGTTCGCCCATTCAAAATAACATAAAAAGATCATATCTACAGGAATTTATTTTAAGTTTCATGGTCTCTTCCTTTTCTCATTTGCAGTGTCACCAACCACATCAGTATGTGTTCATGAAGTCTGTGAGTGGTCAGAATGGTATGATGGCAGTCTGCAAACCCCCGGCTATGACGGTGGAGATTTTGAAACCTTCAATGATTTAAGAGCTAAAGGTTATGAAGTTTGTAAAGCTCCACGGGATGTTCAATGCAGAGCAGAAAAATTCCCTGATATACCACTGAAAGACCTTGGCCAAAAAGTAGAATGCAGTACAACAGCTGGGCTTATATGTTACAACAAAGACCAAATTTCAACAATGTGCAATAATTATGAGATCAGAGTCCTATGCTGTGTTTTTGTACCATGCTCTTCTTCAACATATCCAGTCTCTACAACTTCTGAAAGTACAACATTGATACATTCAACATCTGAAGAAACAACAACCACAACCATAATGACAACACCGCTCACCACCTTTACTTCAACACCTTCTCTTTGCTTTAAAGAAGAATGTTACTGGTCCAGATGGTATGATGTCAGTTATCCAGGGTCTGGTTATGATGATGGAGATTTCGACACCATTCAGAACATTAAAAAAAAAGGATACAAAGTCTGTGCTAACAGAAGGGATGTGGAATGCAGAGCAGTGAGGTTTCCTAACACACCATATCCTCTCCTGGAGCAAAATATCCTGTGCAATACAGAAGAAGGCTTGAAATGTTACAATAAAGACCAATTGCCGCCGATTTGCTATAATTATGAACTAAGATTTAAATGCTGTGAAAATATAACAGTACCATGCCAAACAACCACTGAAAGTATTAGTACTGCAAAAACAACAGAACCAACTACACTTTCTTCAACAGGATTCAGTACAACATCCACAGAAGTATCAACAACTCCACACTTGATAACAAAACACAAGACAACACCACCAGAAACAAATGCACCACAAACAGATCACATTATTACAAGAACTACAACTAAAAAAACAGCACAAACTCAAAAAGAAACAACTACTGCCACGACCACAACGCCCTTGACAATTACAACTACACCACGCACTGGACACCAGACCACCACCACTACGACAGTAACCACCCCCTGTGAACCCGAAGTGTGCACCTGGAGCGAATGGTTCGACGTCGACTTCCCCTCCGCCGGGCCCAACCAGGGAGACTTCGAAACCTACCAGCACATCCGGGCCGCCGGGAAGCACGTCTGCCAGCGTCCAAAGGAGATCGAGTGCCGGGCGGAGGACTACCCCGACGTTCCCGTCCAGCAGGTGGGGCAGGTCGTGCAGTGCGACGTCCACTATGGACTGGTGTGCAAGAACGAGGACCAGACTGGAAAATTCAAGATGTGCCTCAACTACAGGATACGCGTCCTCTGCTGCACCCCCAACTACAACTGCGTAAGCCCCACCACCAGCCCCACCACCAGCCCCACCACCATCACCAGGCCCACGGCAAGCAGCACGCTCCCAACCTCCACCTCAGTCACGACCTCCACCTCCACCTTCCACTCTTCCACCACGCTGCCCACCTCCTCAGAAACCACGTCCACTTCCACCACCACCACCAGCCCCACGCCAACGCCTCCCACAGCCACTCCCACCATCACCTCCACCACGTCCACCACCCCCTGTGAACCCGAAGTGTGCACCTGGAGCGAATGGTTCGACGTCGACTTCCCCTCCGCCGGGCCCAACCAGGGAGACTTCGAAACCTACCAGCACATCCGGGCCACCGGGAAGCACGTCTGCCAGCGTCCAAAGGAGATCGAGTGCCGGGCGGAGGACTACCCCGACATTCCCGTCCAGCAGGTGGGGCAGGTCGTGCAGTGCGACGTCCACTATGGACTGGTGTGCAAGAACGAGGACCAGACTGGAAAATTCAAGATGTGCCTCAACTACAGGATACGCGTCCTCTGCTGCACCCCCAACTACAACTGCGTAAGCCCCACCACCAGCCCCACCACCAGCCCCACCACCATCACCAGGCCCACGGCAAGCAGCACGCTCCCAACCTCCACCTCAGTCACGACCTCCACCTCCACCTTCCACTCTTCCACCACGCTGCCCACCTCCTCAGAAACCACGTCCACTTCCACCACCACCACCAGCCCCACGCCAACGCCTCCCACAGCCACTCCCACCGTCACCTCCACCACATCCACCACCCCCTGTGAACCCGAAGTGTGCACCTGGAGCGAATGGTTCGACGTCGACTTCCCCTCCGCCGGGCCCAACCAGGGAGACTTCGAAACCTACCAGCACATCCGGGCCGCCGGGAAGCACGTCTGCCAGCGTCCAAAGGAGATCGAGTGCCGGGCGGAGGACTACCCCGACGTTCCCGTCCAGCAGGTGGGGCAGGTCGTGCAGTGCGACGTCCACTATGGACTGGTGTGCAAGAACGAGGACCAGACTGGAAAATTCAAGATGTGCCTCAACTACAGGATACGCGTCCTCTGCTGCACCCCCAACTACAACTGCGTAAGCCCCACCACCAGCCCCACCACCAGCCCCACCACCATCACCAGGCCCACGGCAAGCAGCACGCTCCCAACCTCCACCTCAGTCACGACCTCCACCTCCACCTTCCACTCTTCCACCACGCTGCCCACCTCCTCAGAAACCACGTCCACTTCCACCACCACCACCAGCCCCACGCCAACGCCTCCCACAGCCACTCCCACCGTCACCTCCACCACGTCCACCACCCCCTGTGAACCCGAAGTGTGCACCTGGAGCGAATGGTTCGACGTCGACTTCCCCTCCGCCGGGCCCAACCAGGGAGACTTCGAAACCTACCAGCACATCCGGGCCACCGGGAAGCACGTCTGCCAGCGTCCAAAGGAGATCGAGTGCCGGGCGGAGGACTACCCCGACATTCCCGTCCAGCAGGTGGGGCAGGTCGTGCAGTGCGACGTCCACTATGGACTGGTGTGCAAGAACGAGGACCAGACTGGAAAATTCAAGATGTGCCTCAACTACAGGATACGCGTCCTCTGCTGCACCCCCAACTACAACTGCGTAAGCCCCACCACCAGCCCCACCACCAGCCCCACCACCATCCCCACCCCCATCACCAGGCCCACGGCAAGCAGCACGCTCCCAACCTCCACCTCAGTCACGACCTCCACCTCCACCTTCCACTCTTCCACCACGCTGCCCACCTCCTCAGAAACCACGTCCACTTCCACCACCACCACCAGCCCCACGCCAACGCCTCCCACAGCCACTCCCACCGTCACCTCCACCACATCCACCACCCCCTGTGAACCCGAAGTGTGCACCTGGAGCGAATGGTTCGACGTCGACTTCCCCTCCGCCGGGCCCAACCAGGGAGACTTCGAAACCTACCAGCACATCCGGGCTGCCGGGAAGCACGTCTGCCAGCGTCCAAAGGAGATCGAGTGCCGGGCGGAGGACTACCCCGACGTTCCCGTCCAGCAGGTGGGGCAGGTCGTGCAGTGCGACGTCCACTATGGACTGGTGTGCAAGAACGAGGACCAGACTGGAAAATTCAAGATGTGCCTCAACTACAGGATACGCGTCCTCTGCTGCACCCCCAACTACAACTGCGTAAGCCCCACCACCAGCCCCACCACCATCACCAGGCCCACGGCAAGCAGCACGCTCCCAACCTCCACCTCAGTCACGACCTCCACCTCCACCTTCCACTCTTCCACCACGCTGCCCACCTCCTCAGAAACCACGTCCACTTCCACCACCATCACCAGCCCCACGCCAACGCCTCCCACAGCCACTCCCACCGTCACCTCCACCACATCCACCACCCCCTGTGAACCTGAAGTGTGCACCTGGAGCGAATGGTTCGACGTCGACTTCCCCTCCACCGGGCCCAACCAGGGAGACTTCGAAACCTACCAGCACATCCGGGCCGCCGGGAAGCACGTCTGCCAGCGTCCAAAGGAGATCGAGTGCCGGGCGGAGGACTACCCCGACGTTCCCGTCCAGCAGGTGGGGCAGGTCGTGCAGTGCGACGTCCACTATGGACTGGTGTGCAAGAACGAGGACCAGACTGGAAAATTCAAGATGTGCCTCAACTACAGGATACGCGTCCTCTGCTGCACCCCCAACTACAACTGCGAAAGCCCCACCACCAGCCCCACCACCACCAGTACCAGAAGCGAACCTTTCTGGACCAGGACTCCATCTCCGATTTTAACAACGCCATGTTTCTGCAAGATTGGCGACTCTATTTTTTCCCCTGGTTAGTTTTCTGTCTTTTAAGGGAATATAGTTCATATTTTGTAGTGTTTTTTTTTATTTTGCGGCATCTTAATTTTTTTTATTAGTTACTTTTTTAAAATTTTATTTATAATATTTTTTCCTGTTACCTTTTTTTTTTCTTTTTTTTCATCTTATTTGTCTTATTTTGTACTTCTGTGTTTTCTCTTTTTTACAGGTGATCTGATTTACAACAGAATGGATAGTGATGGATGTAGATTTTATGCAATCTGTAGCCCAGTATGTACTGTTGAGCGACACAGTGTACCTTGTAATGTCACTACTCCTTTATCCACTACTTCCTCTGAGTGGTCTACCACAACAACATCAATTCCTCTGTCAACCACTACGAAAAGTTCTCATTTTCACGGCTGTGTTTCTAATACATACCCTCTCCTACAGGTATGTAATTTCTGACTTTTTTTATGACTTTTGAAATAACATACTTTTTCAGGTGACAGCAGTGTGTAATAGCTTGTAGTCCATAAAGCTTAGATGTACAGGTTGTTGTAATTATTTTACTAGTGATGGGCAAAATATGACTTAAAATTTGAATTTTTTTTTTTTTAATTTCAGGATTTTATACTGATAAAGCAAGTTACATTATTCTTTTCTAATTACTTTAGTGGTAGTAAAACACTGATGCACTGCATCAATAATAAGATCTCTCTGCCATAATAGAATGAGTTTTCTTGTGGATCGTCTTGTTTCACTAAACACAAATATTTAATCTCCTCTGGAGGCTTGTATCTGCTTCTCTTCTGCCCTCCTACTTCCATACACTTTTATTTTTCCTTTTGTGGTGGTCTGTGCTGACAGTGGAGTGCACTATACATAGTATAAAGTTCCTTTAACCTAAGACTTACCACCCTAAACCCCTGAAGAGCTCCTCATGCAGAAGAAACAGCTCTAATTAAGGCTCCCACCTTCTTTTAGCATCAAAGAAATTTATCATGTGGAATATTGGCAATCTTTTACTACCAGTGCAGTTTTTCATTTTAGTCTTTGCTTCAGATTTAATAAAGGTTATACCCATTTGCTATCTTCTGTGACAAGAATTTTTTGTCCCTTTTCAGCCTGGAGAACATTACAAATTATCCAACTGTACAGAAGTCATCTGTAAAGGAGACAATGATATAGACATAGTACCAACATACTGCCCACCTGTAAAGGAAATTACCTGTGCAAACAAATATCCTCCAGTCCTAGTACCTGATGAAAATGGCTGCTGTTACCGATATGAGTGTCAATGTAAGCACCAGTAGATTAAGGAATTAGGTTTTTTGAAAAAAGCAAAGCTTTGCATGGACTAAATGGGTATTTTCTTTTCTTAAGGTTGCTCTTTTAATTACAGTATATTCACTTGAGTTTCTTAATCTTTCTTCTTCATTAATTATCATCTTAATCTTCCAAATATTTCCTTCATACCAGGTGTGTGTAGTGGATGGGGTGACCCTCATTACATCACATTTGATGGAATCTACTATACTTTCCTTGAAAACTGCACTTACGTCCTGGTGAAACAGATTATTCCTAAATATGACAACTTCCGTGTTTACATCGACAATTATTACTGCGATGCAAGAGATGGACTCTCCTGCCCTAAATCCATTCTTATTTTCTACAAATCTGCAGAAGTGGTGTTGACTCGGGAACTCATGAATGGTGTCATGACCAATGTGGTAAAATGCGGTTTTTTTTTCTCTATTTTTACAAAAAAGAAATAAGGTCCACAAGCCTTACTGATGCTGATTTGAGATAGTCTATTAGAATATCATATTGTGGAGGTGATGAGGGCAGAGGGTATTGTTATGGGAGGGGGGGAAAAGGACTGCACTGGATTCTAAGAACGAGAACAGCTTAGCATTATGCAGATTATGTATTATGTATGTTTACATGTAGATAATACTAGGAAACAGAATAATAGAGCTGATAGAGAAGGCACAAAGAATGCTCACACTGGTGCTTGATTCATATTTCATGAAAACTGGTACATTGTGCCATTCACTTTTGTAAACAAACAGATAATGAGCAAACACAAATGCAAGTCACAAGTGTGATTCTACTCTTAGAGTGAATATGGGTATGTATCACTTGTCAGCTGGATGACTAGGGACTGCTTTCTCTGCATAGGGAACTTCAGGTGCCAAATAGAGCCCTGACATGACTCCCCCTTCAGTTTCCTACTGGGAAAAGAGGTATAGCTGAAGAAAAGAATTGACTTTGAGTGTCACCTTTGTGATCCTGAACTAGCGCTGGCAAGCCAGTGAAAATGAAAAGTCAGTCCCACTCTTATACTGAGGAATCTATTAGTTAATTAGACAATGCAAAGATGGGGAGGAAAAGGTTGTCTAAATAGGCACTCTCCCCTTACAAAGCCATGCCAAACTCTCAGTCAGAAAGGCATGCTGTTTCTAGTGATTCCCTGCAAAAGAAAACAGTAACTGACAGTTTTAACTCTAACTTTATCCCAGTTCACTGAGCAGGGAGTTGCAGAATAACTTCTGACAAAAAGCTATTAGGGAAATATGTTCACCTTTGTTAGCTCATATAAGATACTGGCTGCAAACTAAAAAGCTTAGGCTAACAAATAAATATGACCACTACATAAAACTGGCACTAGGGACATCTGACTTCATTTTGAATTCAGGTAACTCCTCCAGTGCCAATTAATGTGTTGTAAAAGAAAAGTGTGATTATCCAGCAAAGTTATTATGCAATGGCAGAAATATTTCTGTAGCTAAAGAAAACTACCGCTCATTTTCATAGGAAAAATATTCGCAATACACAAAATTAGGAGGGATACAAAGAAAATACTTGAATATAGAATACCGTGCATTAGTACACAATCTGTACAAACACAGTACATAAAGGCCACTTAGTTTATTATCACATTTTATGAATATAGTAGTTCAAGCTGAGATATCAATGTAAATATATGCTGTTATTGAGATGCCAGTGAGTATTGGATGTGATGCACAACCATATGGACTTATGCAATAATTATGAAGATTAGAAAATTTAAATATTACTTAAAACAATCAGTCAGAAGCAGTGCTTATTCTGAAGTTGTCTTTTGTTGTTTCTTTTTTTTAATCTTGTATTCAGATGTACTTCAACAAAAAGATTGTCAAACCAGGCTTCGAAAAAGACGGCATTTCTTTCTCCACTCTTGGCATCAATATGATTGTTGAAATAAAAGAGATTGGTGCAACTATCACCTTTAGTGGTCTAATCTTCTCTGTGAAACTCCCATACAGCAAATTTGGCAACAACACTGAAGGACAGTGTGGTAAGACAGATGCACTCATTGGAGGTGGTGCTCTTTCCCCATCCTACCATGGTTGTTCTCACCCACTCTGGCTATGCAGTCTCATGACTGACAGAAATTTTTAAAGAGCAGTAAAATGGAAGTGAAAACAGTTCTGCTCTTCAACTTCTGTAGGATATCAAAAGCTCAATATTTCAGCAATCAGGGTTTTTTTCTTTGGCGCTGGGGTTTTAGATTTGTTTGTTTTTCTAGAACATAAATTAAAGTTCATATAACTGTAAAGAAAGCACTACCTATGAAGCAAGGCACCATATGCATTTCATGAGCACATCCAGACATATCGGCACAGTAATGTATTGTGCATTTCTAACGTGGCTTATGAGACTTACTCAGCTTGTCTCTTCCAGGAACATGTACAAATAACAAAGCAGATGAATGCCGTTTACCAAGCGGTAAGATCATTTCTTCCTGTCCCCAAATGGCTCATCACTGGATTGTTGATGACAACAAGACGTGTCATGGAGTACCAATAGTACCAACTATAACCACACCTCCACCAAAGCCTCATTGTGAAACACCTCCTCTCTGCAAGCTTATCTTGAGCGAGTAAGGAAAAAACCTGAACAAATTCTTTCTTTCTAGACAAAACTTCCAGTATCTTAGAAGAAGAATAACAACTATAGCCCTAGCATGTTATAATAGCTGAAAATGTTTGCTTAACGACAGAATATATACATATATGTATGTATATATCGTAAAAAGCCTTTGGAAAGGAAACAGCTCTGCCTAAATGACTTGCAAGTCAAAGATAACTGAGCAAGGAGAGGTGAAGTGAGAATATAAGGGATGCAGCAAGCACTAAAATCCATACTCCTTGGTTGCAATCCTGCCAGGGTATGCTTAATAACTCTTAGTTACAGTATTAAGCAAAGGCTTAACTCTACATTTGAACTGGGTATTCAGTACAAACCATAAAGAAACTGGTTATCAAACAGATTAAGAAAGCAGACACAAACAGTCAAGAAGCATCCTTCATTCTTTGTACATTTTATGTAAAACATGGAGCTCCAAAAGCACAAATGCTTGTTTCCTGAAGTATTTCCTATACTTGTGTAGGCTGAAAACAGCTTTTTTTTAGCTGAGTCCTTTATAAAGGCCCTCTTACATGTGCTTTCTGTACTGTCTTATAAGTTCTGAGCTATTTTATGTGTAATTTTTCTATCTCTAGACTACTTTTGTCATCCCTTTTTTTCCTCAACCCAGTGCAGTTGCCTTTTACACTAAATTTATGGTCTCAGACTGATGAAAAGCTGTGTACACATACAGAAACACTATGACCATTAACCTCTCCAGAAAATAAAAGGAGCTTCAGATTTCCTAATCTTTCCTGAACTTAACTCCCAGTTTATTGGCCATTCCTATGGTTTGTTTCTTCACACCTTCCTTTCTGAAACAGAAAGTCACACACTATTAAGTGGAAAGTGTTGTCTGACAGGAACAGACTTTATATAATGGCTCATTAACATAGAAGGGGCTTTCTTTACTGTCTGCAGGATTTTTGCAGAATGTCATGCTGTGATACCACCAGAACCATTTTTCAAAGGCTGTGTTTTCGATGGATGTCGCATAGATGATGAATCCATGCAGTGTTCCAGTTTGGAGATATATGCTACAGAGTGTGCGTCTAGAGGTGTCTGCATTGACTGGAGAGGAAAGACCAACAATACATGCTGTAAGTATTGCAGAACTCAAAATGGATGTGATAAATGGTAGAAGTTAGTTTTTTATTCAGTAAACATGTCTTCTATCTAACACTTGGCTGCTGTCAACAAAAATCCAGCAGGGTCCTTTCTCACAGAAGCTGCAGACGAAGGCAAAGCTGTAGTCATTTTTGCAGCAAAAATGCATCTGCAGTCAATTTTTAAGTTTTTTTTTGGTCTTTTTCCATATAGCATTCAGCTGTCCAGCAAGCTTGGTATACAAGCCATGTGGGCCCATTAATCCTGATACCTGTGATCAAAGGTAAGGAAAGGCAAAAAAACCCCCCATCCTGAAACAACTGCTTATATTTTTCTTTTTATTTTTTTCTATTATTGGCTATCCACTTTCCTTAGAAATTTGAGTTATTTCATAACAAAATGTGTTGCAAATTTGGATAACTTATTCAAGATTTATAAATATCAATCAGCTCTGTCTATATGTGCTTCTTGTTGCACGCCAGGAAGTGTAAATTTTTTGTCTCTTGTATCTGATATGTCAACCTTCTGTATATGCTGTTCTGTCTCCTGCTTCATCGCAAAAATATTGTACTCAAACACATACATTCCTCTCATTCTAGCTCTGTTGAGCATCCTGGCTTTGGAATAACTGAAGGCTGTTTCTGTCCTGAAGGAACGACACTCCTGAGTGCAGAGAGCAATATCTGTGTCCCTGAATGTTGTAAGTAATCTGTAGCTAGTTCAGGGAATAAATAGAGATCAGGTTTGTTAGTCAGGAGGCCTGAGTTCTACTGCTGTCTTCTACATGGTCAGATCATCAGCAAATCAGCTTCTTTAAGCTCCTTTAGTCTCCCCATCTAAAAATTGAATAATAATATTATCTTTTTTTCATCATCCCTCCTTATATGAGACCTACCAAGACGGTAGAACTCTATATTTCAGAACTAGTCTGCATATTCATTTTCTTGTTAGCTTTATCTTCACAATATTTTTATTTGTAACTGCACATATGTCAATTTTCAGTGGTGTGAATCTCCATTCATTTCATTGTCTGGGTATTTTTCTTTTTCTTTCCAGCTTGCAGGGAACCAAATGGAGTACCCAGATGGGTGAGTATCACAATCAATGTGGCTTAAAGTGCACAGATAAGTGAAACAAGAGGATACTTAGTGTTCCACTAAAACAAAGCTTTGCTTAGGTTGGCGAAGACTTTGTCTTTTCAAATGTTGGTTCCCTTTTAGTCTTAAAAATAGTAAGTGCTAGAGCAGCCCTCAGAAATGTAACAGGAAGTGGTGAAGTATTCTGTCAATAACCTCACATACAGTTTCTTTAATTTACAGAAGTTTGTCTTGCTAAAGTTACTATAAATGAAGGGAGAGATGGATAACAAATTTTACCTGTTGCTGATATTGTTCACAGTCTGCATTCTTAGTTCCTCAGCTGCATACAAATCTGCAACCTAATGTGCAAATGAGTTTGTCATATTTTGTATTCAAAAATGCATGCAAAGCTCAATCACTTCTCCTTCAGAAATCCTTTATCACTCATGCTGACATAACAAAGTCATAGCTTTGTGAACACACTCAGAACCTTCAGTGGCCTCCAGTATCTTCCCCTAAGAAGCTTCAATTTGGAGGTCTTTTTTAAAATCTAAAAATACAAAAAGGCTGATATAATCAGCTATCACTGTATCCATGAATATGTCAACTAGAAGCAAATAGAATTGTTTTGGTTTGAATTTACTTTTTTTTTTCTTCTCTTTGTGTGTGTTTTTCTTTTTTATATAGCCAGGAGAAAAATGGACAAAAGATTGCCAGGAATGTGTCTGTGACAAAAATACTCTTAAGGTGCACTGTACAAAACACAAATGTTCTCTGACACAGCAAGTATTTTGTGATGAACCAGGTTACATGCCTGTTCAGATACAGATACCAGAAGATCCATGCTGTACTAGGACTGAGTGCTGTAAGTAGTCTTAGTTCTTTATTATGGGGAATACACTATATTCATTTTGGGAAACTACAGCAATTTTTTTAATACTTTGCATGGATGTAATAATGCTTTTCTCCCTCATCACACTTTTTAGGGCCTTCTTGCATAGCTGTACTAAATGTCTGAAGATAACAAATTTAAAGATTAAAAGATTTTATATAGTTAGACACAGAAGTAACTGAAATCTTCTATAATTTAACACTGAAAAACTTTAATGCTGCCACCATCTGAAACAATATTCAAAAACTATTCACAATATTTTCTGTTCTAAAGATCAGTATTAGAAAGTTATCTTAACTTAAAAAAACATAGTCTTGAACATTTAAAAATTGCTCAGGAAAGTTCCTGACCCACTGACAGTCATCAGATTTTCCAACTGATACAAATTTCTCTTTGGAATTATCTCTTTCCAGCAATCATCACTGTGTTCTTCTCATACAATGTTTTGTTTTACAAGTGTTATGGAAAAGCCCATTCACTCTGAAAACACCTGGGCATGCAGACTGAAATAGTCACTAAACTGTCTTAGGCAAACAACATCATATTTGCCCCACCGGAAAACTTCTGAAGTTCATGTCAAACAAAATTGCTTTTATTTAAAAATTCTGAGTTCATTATTTTGTGTATTCTCTTCCATGAAACAGATTGCAACACCAGCCTCTGCCCTGAGGTCACGCCCCAGTGCTTAGAGGGACAAGAAATAATCACAATAATGCAGCCTGGAAAATGCTGTCCTACCTTTGAATGCAGTAAGTATTGTGCACTTTCTTCATGTGTTATTTACTGCTATATTTTTCTAAGTTTATGAAAACCTTATTATCTGTACTACCATATTGGGCCTCATTGTAAATGAGTGTTTTAAGGTTACCACCACAGGCCTGCAAAGCTGGAACCTTTTTACACACTTCTGCCTCTTAAAACTTACACCTCTAAGACATCATCTTTCTTCCTTTACAGGACATGGCTGTGTAGTCAATGAAACTTACTATGCGGTAAGTACACAGAGTAAATCACTATAAAAATACACCTTCACATAGCTCACCATGCAATGGTTTTGAGATCTCTATCATGGCCTATATTTTGCAGAAAGGCTTGAGATATAATTATATAATATTAATTAATCAAGGTTAGCAAATCAACATCTTCTGTAAAAGCAAAAGCATTTTCTGCTCTACTTTCTGCATGAGTAGAATTTAATTCCAAAATTGTTATTACCAAACCAGAAACTCCTCTTAAATAAAAACTAAAATTGTATTTAGGGATAGCTTAGCCTATACATCTTTGTATTGTCTGTGACTTACATACACAGAGCAACTTGCGTTTACTGACTAATAATGACTTTTTTCCTGACTCCTCCTAGCCTGGAACTGTCATTCCATCAGGCCCCTGCGAAGAATGCACCTGCTCTGAATCCTCTTACTTAAGGCCTCACCGTGTTACTGTCAAGTGCAAGCCTGTTACCTGTGACACATACTGCCCACTGGTGAGTGCTATTTTGCTGTCAGAAATTCCTTCCCCACTCAGCTCTAATAACCACTAGTTAAGGTCAGTGACCTGACTCAATGTCATTTCCTTTCTATTTCTTTCAAAACAGGGTTATAAGTATACAGAGGAACCGGGACAGTGCTGCGGCTCGTGCAAGGCAGAGGCTTGTGTGGTGACTGTGGGACACAACATTACACACGTGGTCTATGTAATTATCACTAGTTTAGTTCACTTTTGGGGAACTCTGCCAGTCTTTTCATTCTTTCTGCTCCTTGTATTTGTCACATTTATTTCCTGCATCTTTTCTCATGTTAGACACATGCTTATTCAGGCAGGGAGCGGACTGCCTCCACACAGTTTAAATAGTATCTTATGCCATGAAACTTCAGTTCTAAGACTTCAAGAAGGAACTGTGATACTGAACAATAGCTTTCAGAAATCAACATAGAAAAATACACAGGTGAAAGCAATGGGCCCTTATCTACCCCTTCAGCTCTGAAAATGTAGCAGCCATTTTGCTCAAAGGATAATTTTATTTGTGGAGGCAGCTTTCAGCTCCAAACAGCTTATCTTAAATTAGCTGAGAGCTTTATGACAGGATGAGTCAGTGAAGCCATGAGAAATTCTTCCATGTATCTGAATGGACATACCCAAAAATTCCTTCCAAATGAGTCCACATACTTACCCTATTCACACAAAAAGTTCATCTATACCCAGATAAAAATAGAACCTCTTCACTTGGTTAATGAAAAACACTTGTGGCAGTATGATAACATGGCAAATAACGATCAGCTGAAATTCAAGAAAATTTGTTCAGAATAATCAAACTGCTGTACACAGTGATGATAAGATACTGGGGTTTGGGTGTTGATTTTTTTTTTCATTTTTATTTAAGAAGATTTTTATTCACTTTAATTTTGATTCCTTTCAGGAAGGAGAATACTGGAACCCACCTGGTGATAACTGTACAGTCTACACATGTGAAAAACATGCTGACCAGTTCATTCAAGTCGTCAGACAGACAAGCTGTCCTGCCTTTAACCCTGATGAATGTGATGTAGTAAGTACTGCTCTACCAGTTCTCATATTTGAAAAGATTGCAGTGGCTAACACCAGTGACAAAAGGGTCATGGTGTCCAAGGAAAATACCTAGCAGAAGCATCATATAGGAAGTAGCTCTCTTTTTGTCCTCTCTTAATCTGGTCCCTGTGAGATTTTATTTCAGAAAGGCAACTCAAAATTAAAATGGGTGATATATCAATCCTCATTGGAGATTGGGCAGTAGAGAAAAGGGTACAGCATAATGTTTTGGATTCCTAAAAGTGTCAGGTGACATAAATGCAAAAATCATATTGATTTTTGAAAAATAACTGGGGGGTTATTCCTAAACTATTTAAGATTATAAATTATTTTAGGGGCTTTTTTTAGAATTCACTAATTGAAAGGAAAGGTGAAGGAAAATAAGCTACTTCCTTCAAATTAATACTCAGGGTAGATTAGAACTAGCCCCACACCTCTGGCAAGTCAGTTATTTCATTCATTGTGTTCCCCTGTCGGACATAATCCTTCACCTGTGCTGGCTTTGGTCACTCAATATTTTGACCTACATTTGCTATAAGCTTTGTATCTGAAATTTTACTACTGAACTCTGATGACAACAAAGCAGTTCTGGTCCTTCCCTGTTTCAGCTTTCAAAGAACTCTTATTAATATTTTAGTAGTTATGTGCCCTTAATATTTAGCCTTGCTTGAAATTAGATTCCATGTCAATACAAAAAAAAACCCCTCTGGTGCCAGAGAAACTTAGGAAGCAGGGAAAGTCTGCTTCAGTATGCAGATATGAAACCTGAGTTACCTTTATATGTTTTCCCACTAAAGAATGACATCAAGTTATCTGACGATGGTTGCTGTATAGAGTGCCGAAGAAAACCGAAGCGTAAGTAATGATAATTTTGTTAAGAGTAAGTAATGATAATATGTGCCTTATTAGGTATATTAGCCCATCTTATATAGACCAAGTTTGGGATCGCTGTTTCACACTGGAGTGAGAAAGGAAACAGGTGGAAAAAGAAAGGAACAGAACATCTCCAGCATGCATTTTAGGGCCTTGGGAAACAAAGACGTGGTGAACTTTCCCATCCCATACTGTTAAATGTTAGTTTTTTCTGTGAGAGGGCAAAGACTATGAATACCCTCCAATTTCCATAGATACATCCTCTTTAAGGAAGAAAGGGAAGCCAGTCTTGGGAAGTGGGTGTGCACTGAGCAGTTGCCATTGTACTGCTCTTTATTTCTGCATCCTGCACCAAAATTGCATAAGAAAAAGGGAAAAATTCACCCATTTGATAACACAAAAAGCAAGAATCTTCATTTGGCCCTTAGCAATTATTAAAAAAAAGTGTACTGTGACTTAATTTCCTATTTCAGCTCCATCCCTCTTAGTTTTTCATTACCAACTGTCTATCATACACAGCTATCTATTTATATGCACATATATCTTAACCTATTTCCTTTTGGTTTGTGATGGCTTTAGTTTGTATGAAGCACAATACTACAGCTGTCATCAAATATAACGGATGTGTATCTCCTGCACCTGTTGAGATGACATACTGTGAAGGCAGCTGTGATGCTTACTCACGGTGAGTGGTATAAAAGATAATTGTGGTCTCCTGTCTTCTACTCTTTACACCAGTTACACAAAGCAAACTGCAAGTGATTTTCTGATGTGTCCAACATCCACCTAATCATCAACTGTTTGCATTGTGATAATTAACTAGAATTTCAAACAGACGTGACGTTGTACTAAATTACCTCAAGATTCACAATGTTTATCAGCCTGTTCAGTGTCAGTTTAGATTTTGCCCATGTAAAAGCGAGGTTATTTGTTTCTTGTTTTCCTCTCACTGAACTGGCTCACTGTGTGACCTGGATTAACTCCTTTATTTTTTTCTGGGCCTTAATGAAGAGTTAGATCCATTGATTTTTATAATTAGGAACAACTTACCTATATTTCACTACAATACTGTAAGAATGGTAATATTGAGCAATAGTCCCACATGCAAGTAAACAACTTTTGGTTATGTTTTGTAATGGGTGGAAGGGGCAGTGGTATTTCTCACATAAATTCTGAATCTCTCTCTTCGATTGGTTTTTCCATCAGATATTCTCAAAAGACAAACACAATGGAACACAAATGCTCATGTTGTCAGGAAATCAAGACCAGCCAAAGAAAGGTGACTCTGACATGCAGTGATGGAACCTACCTTGATCACTCATACACCTATGTGGAGAAATGCAGCTGTGTGACTGCTCAGTGCATTCCCCAAGACAGCACCCAACAGGAGACAAGCCAGACAAAGACCTCTCAGGAACAGGCAAATGTCAAAAATTAGAACTGGAGACAAGTTGCCAAACAAGGGCTGGACATAAGACTAAAATAAAAAAACTTTGAAAAAATATGGAAGTGTCAAGAGCAGCTAAAATTTGGGATGAACAGATGATATTTTCTGCAAAAACCCCAATATGTCTTGTCTACATAATTTCAGTTTTCATTATTGATATATCTCCCATTTTTTCTTTTATGTCTTTTACCTCCTTGAGAAGTACAGCATAAGGTCATCTTGTCATTTTCTGTTCATTTGTCTTCTGAGAAGTGCTGTAACATAAGATTGAGAGATGGATTTTTAATAACATTTTCATTCCAGTTCATTGAGACAAATCAAAAGATAAATCCAGAAAACAAACAAAAACCAAGGAAAACTGTACCTCTCTGCTTCTATATGTTTCTTTTTGCATTGAGGAAAACTTAGACTGCAGAAAGCCATACTTTTTCAAAACTGTAAACTTCAATATTTTGGACAATTTATGATGGACATATTTCCCTATATATTTTTTGTGAGAAAAAGGAAAAAATCCTATTACAAGAAGCTGCTGCACACTACTTTTTGTTTACATAACACCATCAGCATAGTAACTGTATGAAAATATGGATTTTTTTTGTTTTGTTTGTGGTTAACTGTTTACAGAAGAAGTATATATATATATTTGCCAACAGGGGCATATGAAGGATTTTTTTAAAACAAAAGTTTATTATTAATAATAATAATTGTAAATTCTTTCTTAGGAAGCTTGTAAAAGTTGAACCATTGCTATTTATTATTTTTTTTTGAAAACTGATTTAGTGGGTCATTTCTTTCAGAATTAATGTTATCCCATTTCTTAGTCTCAGCCATGTTGTCTGGGTATGGTATACTTTCTTCTTTTGTTTTTGAATATTGTTTTATTTTTGTTCCTTATGGGGGGGAAGCAATGATGATTAATAAATTTTGAGCATTTTACAGCACATCTGCTTTGACTTTTCACTGAATCCCTCGAGTCAGAGTTGCTGGCCCCATAAAGCATAGCTCCAAGTCAAAAGTCACTCTAGGCTGTGGTACCGAGCCCCTTATAGAGGAGGCAAATACTTAGTGTTCCAAGCACAAGGCTTCAGATGCTATGAATTAGTGAACTTTCAGTAAGCAAGCACATCTGAGTCTATACATATTTTGTGGCTCCAAACATTCTTTACCTGACCGACAGAAACTATCCAAAGTATTTCAAACCAGTTAGTCTCATATTTTAGAGCCCACTGCAATACATATAAATCTCAAACCTGAAATTGTGCTATTGTAAATCTACGCGTTTGACGGGTTACTTTGCAGCTTTAGTTACAGTATACTTCGAACCAGCCAGCACAGATCTGACTGCAGATTGTATACTACCAAGAAACATCTTTTACATAACTTATAAGTGTTCTAGGATTGCTAAGGGGAATAGTAAAAAACTAAAGGTGATAACCTTTCTCTTACCTTACAGTTTGGACAGCTCAGTAGAGGAAGTAACAGGGTAACAACATAGGCTTTCCGCTGGTGCCCTGCA